CCCCCCCCCATGCTTCACAATCGGTATGGTGTTCTTGGGATGCAGCTCTGCATTCTTCTTCCTCCAAACCATAATTTACTTATAAATTCTTAAAAATCCTACAATGTGATTTCCTAGATTTTTTTTTTCTCATTTTGTCTCTCATAGTTTAAGTGTACCTGTGATGAAAATTACAGACCTCTCTCACTCTAAGGAGGAGAACTTGCACAATCAGTGGCTGACTAAATACTTTTTGGCCCCACTGTAGATAGATAGATAACAAAACTCTGAAAACTTCACTTCAAGACAAAACATGAAACTCGATCTGTCTTTATATATATATGTATGTATGTGTGTATAACACCCACAAACACACTATTCTATTTTATTCTATTCTTTTCTATATATATATATATATATATATATATATATATATATATATATATATATATATATATAAATAAAATAGAAAATCCCTTTATTGTCCCACAATGGGGAAATTCTGGTGTAAAGGCAGCAAAAAGATTATAGAAAAAAATGGTCACGCAAATATGCATAAGAAAAACATAATCCTAAACATATAGAGAGAGATATCTTTGGGTGGATTTAAGTTTTAGGTTTTGTCTTGAAATGTCGTTTTCAAAGTTTTGTTTTGGGCATCGACAGCTGCAATGCGTTAAATTGAGTTATACCGCCCTCTAGTGGTGCTTATGTGGTTTTATTTCTTAGCAGCAGTTCCAGCTAAGGAGCAACAGGTGGCGCCACTGAGCTGTAAAATCAGGTGTAGCTGGAGGAAAACGAATTAAAGTTGTTTATATTTCTGTCGTGGGTCATCAGCTGCACAAAATGTTGAATTATGACCCACATGCAGTGATATTTGTGGCTATCTATCTGCTATATTTCCCATTCTTGTGTCTAAAGCCAAAAAGAGCAGGCATTGGGTTACCAGCTCTTGATCTGTTATATCATTACTGCTGCATGTCTATTAAGAACAGAATAATAGTGTCACATTTTCTTTAGCCTCCTAAATGATTTTTTTCCATGACTACCCTATATCTAAGCTCATGTTAACTCCAAACATGAGAAAGTATTTTCCCAGATGCATGATGCCTCCATCATCTATATGGTGGAATTCATTGTAATTATCTGTCAGGCATTATGTATTTAAGTTCATAAGTTTAAATTCAGATTTATGCAATCAGGGGAGCCATTCCCAATAGTTTTGCTGCATCTTGTTATTAAATCAAACAATGACTTCCTACTTACCATTCCTCCATAAAGACCCATTTTGTGATCCCAATAAGGCAGAGGCCAGAGTTTGTTATTGTGGTTGTAGTACCTTTAACAATCCTTGTTTAAAGCGTTACTTTCTACATGCCAAAGCCATTTTAACTTTCAAAGTTTTAGCTAATCAGGCAAGTCAGATTGATATTGTGCAGCACTGCGGATGAGATCTATATGTTATTAATCTGGACTGCTCCCATAGAATCTTTTTAGAGAAAATCCAGTTGGAGCTGTATGTTCTTTTCAGAATGAAGCTTCCTTGAATAACCCTTACTAGACCAATAGGTTTAGGTAGAGGGCCATGTCCTGGTAGATTTGTAGTTGTGCAATTCTGTTTACATTTCAAATGATGAATTGAACAGAGCTTTTTTGGATGTTAAACATTTGGGGGTGTCGTTTTACGTGTATGTCAAATGTGAAAAATAGAAACAAAACAAAAAAAGGAAACAATTTAAGATTTTCTTTCCACTTTCCGGGCAAACTTTCTCCTTGCCCGTCACAGACAATCCAAATAAAGAATGCTGAATTTGCAGCTGCAATACAATATTTGCACAGACTTTGCAAATTGAGGGTGGAAATCAAAGATCTTAAAAGGTTTACTGAATGGTTGTTTTTCACAAGCTCATTTTTTATGTCTACATGTCAGTTATAAAGACATCATCATTTACATACAAAAGGTAGTATTTTATTATGTTTTCTCAACAAAACTTCAAAGTATTGTATTAGAGATAGGATAGGTGTTCTAATGTGCCACATAATAATGGTTTATTTAAGGCATTTTAATTAAATTGTCATATAATTATTACTCATATTGACTCGCTGAAGCACGTCTAAAAACTCTGCTCCAGGTGAGGCTCGAACTCACAACCTCGGCATTGCTCTGCTGAATACTGTCATATAAGTACCGCGCGCTAACCGATTGCGCCACTGGAGCTTCAGCCGTCTGCGGTCGGAAATTGGGTTTAAGAAAATCGAACAACTTCGCCAAAACTGCGTTTAAGAGGTGTCTTCTTATTATTGTTCTTTCTCGGATTGGCGATACAGACCATATGAAGTCGGTGTGGGGGCTTCAGGTGGCCTCACAGCTGACTCTGATGCTGCATTCAATGACTGCTGGGATAAATCTAGAACAAAGGGGTGGGGGCGTTTCTGTCTGTTTAGACTTAGACAAACTTAGTCAAACTTTATTGTAATTTTTTTAGACAAAACGAAAGTATACGAAAATTGGTAAGTATTTTAACAATTACTGGATATGACAATTTTTTTTCATACTAATGCTTTTTATTCCAAACAAAAGAAAGCACCAGTGTTTAGTTTCTGGTGGAAAGGAGACATGCATCCCTTTCAGAAAACTAATAAATTAACTAGAAAGAAAAAATTAATGAACTATTTTCCTTAACATTTTTAAATAAAAAAAAATGGGATATATGTAAATAATCAATGGAAAAATACTTTTGGGGGGATTACAGTAGCAACATTCCTTTCAATAATTGCTGACCACATTTTGCATGATTTAACTAATAGTTTGACCCATAATTAGGAGACAGGAAGTCACAGATCAGTAATTAAAAACTCATATGCTCTCTGACTGTCTATACTCTACAGTCCAGACTGTAAATAACTCTTTTTGTAGGTTTAGAGGCAGAAAATAAACAAACCTCCCACAATCTTCTTTATCCTCTTACTATCAGGTCATTTTTGCATTTTTGATAAAATGACAGAAAGAGCTTCTTCTCCCCAGTCAGTCTCTCTGATGAACACAGAAACACGAGAGCCTGAAACAATACAGAACCATCATAATTTGTCTTCCTCTTTCATATGAGAGAAAAAGAAAATTACATTGCATGCACCAAAAGTAAATTATGGTATTATATGTTTATTTTTCTATATCCTCTAAAGTTTTGCATGTTTAGGACTGTAAATACATTTTCCAATGCTGATATATTTTAATTAAAGGCTGTAATTTTAGTTTTAGGAATGAAACACACTTGGAGATGCTTCTGGAGAAAATGTAAGGCTTTTTTCAGACCCTCATTTTGAAAGATACATTGATGCAATTTCTCTTCATGTGCCTCAGCATGTATAGGATAAAACACCTGGGGTATGGTTTCAAAGCTGCAAATGGAAAACCAAAGCAGCATCACACATTATGCAAACACACTTTGTGTGCGTGCACAGAATCCTACCGAGACCAAGGCAGCTCCAGGCAAGCTGGAAGCAAGCATTATTTGTATTCTGAGAACACGCTGCCTTCCTCATCGCTGTGTCAAATTGCCATATTTTGTGGGGGCACTTTTTACCACGTCCAGTCCCACACAGTCAGGCCGCAGTGCTTCAAGCCCCCGCCCCGATCTGTCACACTTTTCCTGGATAGCAGCAACAAAGACAGATTACAGAGATGTATAGTAGGTGGCTGCTAGACAGGGGAAGATGTTATAGTGGCTCAGTAAATAAAACCCCAAAACAATGTGGAGTTTTTTTCTTTTTTTTTTCTTTTTATTATTCTCAGCATATTCATTTTCAACACATGACAGACAGGAAACACTAACAGAAACATTTTGAATGAAGGAGAAGAAATCATGTGACCTGTCGGTCCAAGACATGCCAGTTTTAAAACTCAGAATAGACACACCTGAAGGCTGGACGGGCTGACCGACAACTTCAGGAGGCAACGCTGCAACAGAGCAAAACCTGACTGTTTTCATGATAGAGAGAAAAAAAGTCCCGATGAAGCTGCAAATATATTTCGCCTCTAAAAGTTGAAGACATTGTGCCTTGCAAAAGTATTCGTAAGCACACTTGTATTGTGTCATAAGGGTGATTTTATGAAATAGATCAACACAAAGTAGAGCAGAATTTAGAAGCAGAAAGAAAATGAATGTTTTTGTATTATTTGACAGACAAACATCTGAAAAATAGGGGATAAATAAATTCAAACCCATTCTTACCCTGATGCCCCTAAAAAGAATATGTTGCTATCAGAAAAAAATGGCTGTCCACACTGGAAAAATGATCTAGAAATAAGTACAATTTTCTCAAATGAAGTGTATTCACCCTTAATTTGAGTAGATAAATGAGATAGTGTGCCAGTGGGATGAGTATTTTCACTGATAGAATAAGATAATTAGATAAAATGCACCTGAAATAAGACAATGCCATTTTTTTTTGTTATTTTAAATGTAAATTTTCTCGTTCCATTGGCACTGACCTCCTCAATTCAAGAAAAAATGCACTTATTTAAAGAAAAAAATACTTATGTAGATTTACATTTTTTGCAGTGCACTGAAACAAACAATCTTAGCAAGAAGATCATAAGTGGCTCATGGTCAGAGTTGAGGAGCTGCAAAGATCCACTACTCAGCTTTTTATTTACTATGTTGTGTTGATCTATATCAGGTAATCAAAATTTATTTCAAACACATTGATTTAAAAATGACCAATTGCTGAAGGTTTGAGGAGTACGATTACTTTTGCAAGGCACTGTAAATTGTAGCCTTGAGGGGAAATATGACGCTTCCATGCCCTTTTTTTTTTAAAGTAGCGAGATGCTTCAGTATCCATGTTTGTGGATAGCTACCAACAGAAATTGGATGAGAAAAAAGTACAGTTTTGTAATGAAATATACAATTTATTTTACATCGTTTTTTTGTAAGAGACTGGTCCTAACAATGTGTTTTTCTTTTATCTGATTTATTTCAACCATTCTGTAACACTGCGCCTGTATATCTAGACAAGACTAAGCATGAAAAGCTGAACCCAACTGAACACAGTCGGTTCTTAGAAAACTGCTTTAAACTCAGATTGCTGCAGCGTCATTATTCCCTTAATGTCAGCTCTGAACATTGGTTTCTTTTTTAAAAGTTTGAGAGAACCCCCCCCACCCGCCCACCCCATGAAATCCCTATCAAACCCCATAGTTTTCCACCAATATACCTCCTAAAATAACTTTATACAAACTGATGAAACTTCACAAGAATTCACCATTAAAAAAAGAGAAAAGATCAGACAGATCGGTGTCATTTTGTTCAGCCATTTAAAATAGGAACAGCAAACGGATCCCCTTATCTTACCAGGATGACCACGCCTTCAGTCACTTGCTCACATGCACTCAGATATGGCACACAGGTGCATCTCGATAAATCAGAATATCATAGGAAAAGGGGTAATAATTTAGGAAAACCATGAAAATGTCATATTATAAAGATTAATAACAGATATAATTCGAAAATTGCTTCAGTTAACTTTTATGGCAATGACTTTCAGTCACCTCAGCTTTTCCTTTCTCTCAACTTTCGGTTAATATGATTGGATATAGCATTGAACAGTCAGCCGCAGAGGATTTGGGTTTGGTTGTCTTTGACTGTCTGCTCGAAACCCCGTCAGCAGATTGTGTAGACAATAACATAACATGTATTTAAAAGTATTTATTTTTATGCAAAATGTATATTTAACCATAAAATGTAGATTGTTACCACAGTTATAAACATGTAAAAGCTGTTTCCAGAGTGCTTTAAGCAAGAATATTACCTGAAAGTTGAATGGAAGGAAAAAGGTTTGTAAATATAAGCCATATAAGCCAAAAAAAAAAAGCCGCATAAAAAATGCAGCAGGAAAGTATTCATAGTGCAGCTCTTTTTCCACTTAGAGCCTCATTCAAAATGCTGTTCAAGTTTGTTGCAAATTTATTACAAAATTTAAAAATAATCTAACAAAAATAACATTTCCGTAATTATGCACCTTTGCTCTATACGTTTAACACCATTATTATCAGGAATAAGGCTTTACTTGTGGAAAAAGTGCAGTGCTGTGAATGCTTTCTGGATGCATCTATATGACGATGACCTTTTTGTTTTGTGTGAGACAATGAGTGACATTTCACTGACCTTTCTCGAAGAAAAGATTTGTTATACCAGATTGTTGAAAATATGCTAATTTCCACCTGTAGTTCATGCGCAGGCTGATAAAGACTAAAAATCATCTCTAAAACATGTCTTCCCCTTTGTTGAAGATAATTATTGTAACATATTCTAATTCATTGAGATATAGTTGTAGAAACACTTTAAGAAGTAATTCCTAAAGGACAGGAGACAGTTTGCAGTCAGGTTTGTGTTTCTATTGCATCAGGGCTCATCACGCATCCATCTGTTGCCAAACAGCACATTGAATCATTGTGACGGGTCATAATGCTGTTTATAGTTTTCCAAGAACTGAGGATGTATTTAAAGAACAGGTATGCAGGTGCATTTAGGAGAGTCCAAGGGGGATCGATCAGTCATGGATGACGATGGGGCCCCGCATCCTCAAGCTGGGGTGAGGGTGTGGAGGGGCCAGAACTAGCCCCTGTGGGGGACCGTGGGAGACCCTGCGCAAGGTAATTTGCTCGCAGGGCTGTCGACAGGCGTGCCTCAACTGGGAGCGGGAAAGCAGCCGTCGGGCCCTCCTGGAAGGGGGGAGACGAGAGGAAATACGAGTCAGGGGGGAGAGCAAAAGAAACTTCCTGGTAAAATTTCTAAAATAATAAGGCATACAGTACTGGTCAAATGCTTTTAAACACCCCCATTTTTGCAGCTTTTGGCTAAAAATGATTAAAGTCTCTGTAAATAATAATAATAATAATAAAAAAATTAGGGTTAGTCAATTATTTGCAATCTCAATATAATAGCAATTTACCAAAACACTATCTTCCAGTCGCAGAGGAACTAAATTTTAAGCACGCTGTATTTAACAAGAGTAGACACTAAATTTCTCACATAAGATCTGTGCTAAAACTCTGGGTTTGTCACCACATATAAAGGTAGAGAGAGTTGCATCTTGCACGTAGATCCTGCATGCAAGTAGAAGATCAGTGAACAGATTACAGTAAAATTGTGCAACAATGATCTCTTTGCAAGGAAGCTTTTGAAAACTGAAACCCTGGGTGGAATGTCTACAAGCTTGGGGTAAGATCAAAGGAAAATCCCAGTTAAATCGCAATCGCAATATCGGTTAACAATAATCACAATTTAGATTTTCGGCAAAATCATTCAGGACTATAAAAAAAATATGATTCAGTTTATTTTAAATGTATCCTAAACTCATTAAAGTAGTCGTGTTTTAACAGATATAGCAGCTGGAAGACACAGGAACACACTCTGAATTTATTCTACATTAGAAATCCAAAATGTCTGGTTTGTTTTCACTATTCAGTTTATCCCAGCACATCTGGATGGGGTTTAGGTCTGCAGGCTGTTCTGGCCGCTCTATGTTTTCTGGCTACCATCTTGTTCTATTCCCCTGAAATAGTTCCTTCATAACTTGCAATAATGTCTTGGGTCAGTGTAAGATGAACCTCTGGCCAGTAAATTTACTGTGTGCTATCCTCTAGTCAGATACCACACAGTAGATATTCCACAGTGTTAAATAAATACCATAGTGTTAAAGTATATTGACTCTTTTAGAGTTATTACAACAACTGGAGTAAGATATACACTATATAGAGAGTTAATTTAACACTAATTCAGGGTGAGACCAAATGCACTTGGATAGGTGTTAAATTTAACTCTTAAAGTGTTACTTTAACACTGCAAATTTTGCTGTGGAGAAGAAACTTTGTGGTGCTGCAGAATGCCATTAGATAGTTTAATATCTATTGAAGGACTGAGTATTTTATTATTATTATTAGTATTTATTTTTCATTTCTTTATTCTAGTTTTATGTTTTTTATCCTTTTTTCCTTTTTTCCTTTCTTTCTATCTATCTATCTATCTATCTATCTATCTATCTATCTATCTATCTATCTATCTATCTATCTATCTATCTATCTATCTATCTAT